TATATATGCATATATACTATGGCCCAGCACTTTCATTCCTGGTCTGCACCACAGAGAAATTACTACAGGAGTCCGTCTGGGGACAAGTAGGAGGATGCAGTTGGGGTATCATAGACCAACACTGGATGATGGATGAGTTAAGCAGAATGACAGTAAAAGCCACTCCAGCAGCAGTGCTGGCAGCCCTGAAACCAGTGCACAGTTGGGTAGTGACTTTATTGAAATGCCATGTGGCATACACAACCTGTGGCAGGACCCTTCATGAGTGCCCTACTAGGTAAAATTTGAACCTCTAGAAGTGGCAACATAGATGGAAAGAGGAAGTCACCACTGGCCATGAACAGGATACTGACAAGACATGACGTCAGCCTGTGCTTGAGTTGGGGCCATATGGTTGCAGTGAGCAATGTGTTTTTGTGGACTTTGGGCATCACACGCTTCTCAGTCTTACGTTGCTAATTGTGGATCCACAAAAGAACAAGAATAGGGAAACTGATGGGGAAAAGACTGGTTTCATCACTAGATGGATTAAGGCAAACTGCTCAAACTTGACTATTAGAAGCACTCTTAAATATGTATTGGAGTTTTCAAAGGGATCTAGGGTGAAGCAACATCCTTGGTTCAAACGACCTTTTTCTGCACATTTTCAAACTGTTACACATGGTAAAATAGCAATTCCAAAATCTTGCAATACTGTGGAATCAATAATTTTATTGGTATAAAGCTTATCTATCACCTAGTATAAGACCTAGTGTAGTGGTGAATTGCCTGACTCTGGGAACAGATTATGTGTTCAAAGCCCAGCTCTACTGTGTACTATTTTAATGAAATAATATATGGAAAGGATCTGGTACTTACTGTCAAAACAAATGTTTTCCTTATTTCCTTCTATTTAATCATTAATCTGATTGAAGAGGTAAATTTTCATTTATGTGATTCATAAATCACATTTTATGACTGTGTCCAAATTGGGTAGAGTTAAAGTGTTGAAGTCATTTGATTCTCACTGCTGTTTGGGTTCAACTTAGGACCTAGATTAGTCTTTGGAGAAGAATTAGGTTGGTTAAACAGAATTTTGGATTTTATGTTGGATCAGATCTATGGACCAGATCTTTGGTCTATTATTCCATAGCGGGCTCTGAAATTCTTAGTTAATGAAAAGATATGCCAGTTACAAATAGCCATTTATGATGTGACATAAATTTGTACCATTATCCTTATATATTAATTTGTAATGCTAGAGTGTATAATTATAAAAATTATTATTGTCATTTATAACTTCTAAATATGCATTTTAGGCAAAATACTTTTCTACTCTATAATTTTTAATACCTTCAAATTTACACCCTTTTTGACATTAGGACTTGGAATATCATAGTTTATGATATGTACAGTGATGTTTATTGCATATTTGCTCTTTTCTTTAGCTTGAAAGGGGTATAATTGTTATTGCCAATTTAGCATGATAAACAACTTAGAAATTCAGAATGAGAAAAATGCTAGAAATTAATTATATTTGTCAAAGCATATGTAAACATTAATAAAATTTATAATGATTTGGGTGCTTAGACTTGATTTTAGATTTTTCTAATAGTAGTGGGAGACCAGACTGCTTTAAGAGTGTATGTTTTATATATACAAAGAAATGGTGGTAGGGAGTCTATCCTCTTTCTTTTTTTTAACTTCAATTTTGTGCAAGTGTGTGAAAAAATGGAAGATATATTTGGAAAGGAAAAGAGAGAAGAGTGGGTCTAAGTTACTTTCAGTTTAGTTGATTATTTAAAAATTTGGAAAAATGTAAATAAGACCCATAATATTCTCAAAGATAAGAAAGAAGGCAGGGAAAACCAACCAGAGATTTGGTTCTGTCATAATTATGATGTGAAATTAAAATTCCATTTCTTCTGGGAAGTTTTCCCTGGTCCTCAGCTGGAAGTCATTTCTTCCACTTCTGACTTTCCAGTGCATCTCCTAAAGCACTTAAGACCTTGTCTGGTAGTGATTTATGGACACTCTCCAGGGTCTTCTGATACTATAAGATTATAAACTAATTGAGTAGAGGATTTATATATGATTCTGCTTCAAGGTGGAAGGCAGTGGCTTCTAATGGAAGAGCATGGCATTTAGAGTCGGCAAGAATCCAGTTTCAAGCCAAGCTCTTCTACTTCCTGTCTGACTACACATTAATTTTTCTGTGCTTTGATTTCCTCATATATAAAATGATGATAATAATACTTAGTTTATAGCATTTGGGAAAGATTTTATAAAATAATTCCTGCCATGCTCCTGTTCCTTGCATAGATTCAATAAATGTTAGCTCTCTTATTTCATGTCTCTGATAAGCATTCCTTTCTTCCATGTAGGAGGCATTCCTATAAACAAGGAATGAATCAAGCATTTTGCAACTGCATCTCTCACTATTGGAAAGGCAATGTAACCATTACGTTTGACAAGTATGGCTTGTTGGTTGTGATCATTAAGTGCTTTTATTCCCCACACTGTTTTAATGGATACTTCAGGGACCATTCCAACCTAGGCCCTCCCCATTGCTGGAGATTTTCTAACTGCATTCCCTTTGATGTGAATGAGATACTTTCTCTGGCTGAATATGAGGTTCCCATTGGCCTTGGGTTATTGATGGGCCTTTCACACTTTCATTCAAATAATATATCTTGCGCCACTACTATGTGTCAGATAGTCTTCTAAGTAGATCAATTAGTGAACGAAGATTTCTACCTTGGGAGCATGTATTTTAAAGGAGAAGACAAAAACAATAGACATAATAAGTAAATAACACAGCATGTTAGAATGTGACATATACTATGGAAACAAGAGCAGGTTAAAGGGGATCAGTAGTGCTTGGGTGGGGCTAAATTGTAATTTTAAATAAGGTGATCACTTCAGGTCTTATTGACAAAGTTGATTGCAACTCTTCCCTTTCAGGTATGCTCACCCCTTTGCAATGTGACTTTGCTGCTTTAGGAGTAGAATCTCTCTCCATCTTTTGAGTAGAGGCTTGGCCATGTGATTTGCTTTGGCTAACAGCATTAACAATTGTGAAAAAGGCAAAGGCTTGAAAATGATTGTGCATTGGGGTTTGCCCTCTCTTTCTGCTAGGGAATCCTTTATCACCAAGTGAAGAAGCCTAGTTTTGCCTGCTGGAGGGTGAGAGCCCAAGGGGAGATAGAGCTCTCAGCTTTCCAAACTATTCTAGCTAAGGTCCCGACTGAGGCTGAGGACCATCCATCTGAGGTCATTCTAGATCCAGCTCCAGCTGAGCTGGCATAGACAAGAAGATTATAGTAGCCAACCCACATAATCATGATCATTAACAAACTGCAATAGCTTTAAACTACTGAAATTCGTGGTTGGCAATACCTTACTGATACAATGATGTTTTTAACAAAAATGAAGGGCATCCTTCAAGGTGGAGGTGGGTTAGCTTTCTCTGAGTACCTAGATTTGTGGATGGGGTTGGCTACTTGAATAATTTCCAGGTTCTGTTAAGGAGAAGGAAGGTGTGAATTATGTTTGGTTGGTAAGAGTGCCCACTGCTGTAGATCCCAAACAGCTACAGGAGAGGAGAATTAAACTCAGTCTGGGTGGTGGAGAGGGATAAGGAAATGAACCTATGTGGGGGTAACACTTAAAATGTAGGTTGGAATTCTAAATAACAGGTGGCCAAGACAGCTGGGAAGAAAAGGGCAATGAATCCTTACAACAGAAGTGAACAGCTTGGGCAAGGCACAGTGATCTGTGGGTCATGGACTTCGGGGGAAATGCAAGTAAGTTGTCTTGTCTGAAGTAGAATTGTGCCCAGATATTCACAACATTATCTGAAGGAATTCATCAGCTTCATCTCTGGTACAAAGAAATATCCAGGAACAGGAATATTGAACTTCAAGTATGATAGCACCTCCAAGAGATTTCCTGGGAAATTAGTTGCCCAGGGAAGGTCTAGGCAAAGGCATTTGTGTGTATCAGTTTACAAGGAATATCTGATATGATATTCCCATATCTAGATATTCCCATAACTAGAACAATTTCCATTGAACCATTTCTTTAAGAAGGAATATAATGGTGAAAAACTTAAGAACTCTGGGCCCAGACCGAAAGATTTTGAATCCCAATCCTGCTACTTCTTAGCTGCTTGACTTTGGTCAGTTTATGTAAACTTTCTCGTCCTCAGTTTCTTTTTCTGTGAAATGGGCATAACACACTTCCTTCCTGTTCCCCACTGCCATCCACTGCCTTATTTCCAGAGTCTAAAGTGTAATATTTCATGAACTGCTAGTGCCTAGCTGCTTGACTTGGATGCATATACTCCTTTTTACCTTTCTTATATGTAGAATGTCAGCATTCATGGGATTGCACGTCTGTTCTTGCTCTGCATAATCATACAGAGAGATTTCCTTCCCTGCAACCTCAGGATTACATTTAAAAATTGAATTGATAGCTACTGCTCTGAAAACCATTTCCCTCATCTGTTCCTGCCTTCCAGGTTTAGAGAATTTAAATATGCATTTAACCTATTTTTAATTGGTTGAATTGCATTCTGTAAAAAGATATGCTCAAATCCTAATCCCTGGTACCTGCAGATGTGCCCTTACTTGGAAATAGGGTCTTTGCAGATGTAGTCAAGTTAAGATGAGGCCATCCTAGATTAGGGCGGGCCCTAAATGCAATGACCAGTGTTCTTAAAAGAAAGGGAGATTTGGAGACATACAGACACGCTCAGAAGAAAGAAGACCATGTGATGACAGAGGCAGAGATTGGAGTGACGCAAGGATTTCTATGGCACTCTGTTCTGTGGTTGTTGCAAAAGCTATTATCAATATTCCCATCAGGAAGAAATGGATCTATGCAAGAATTCAGTGTTTAAATACATAAATGAAGACCGTCGGCAAGGAATAACTTTTTTCCCTTTATATCTTACAGCCAAAACATAGGCTTTCTGCTGCCAACATTGATATTTATCATTATCTTTTTCTTTTTTTCTTTCGGTTACAGATTTAATGAAGTCTGAAAGGCATGCGTGATCATGTTCAGAGATAGGGAGGCCCCGCCAGGCTCGCTCTCTGCACCTCGATAGAAACGATGTGGATGTGGTGTCCAGGTACCATGGCCAGGCCCAGCACACGCGGTTCCCCGGCAGAGAAGGAATTCGACGGCTTGAGGAACTCCTGCGCCGAGCCCAGGATAACACTGCAGTCACGGTTGGTGCAGAGGAAGCAACCGACCAGTGTCCGCCCATCTGTCATGTGAATGCGCATGGTCTTGTTGAGTAGCGCCTCCAGCTGCTGCCTAGCGCGCATAGCCAGCGAGTCCTCGCGCTCCCCATCTGAGTCCCCTGCGCTGGAGCTGCTTTGACGCCGGCTGCAACAGCCATTCTCCTCTCGTAGTAGCATGATGCAGCAGCGGCCATTTGTTCCCAGGCCTTCTCCAGGCCCTTCAACTTCCTAAGAACCTTTTGGGTCCGGTGGTCTGAGATCTGGCGAGCGTATCATTATCTTTTTCTTAAATTTAAAAACAATTCTATTAATGTTCCTTTCACTGTATCAGATTAGTTGTGTTGGATGAGAATAATAATGATAGCCAGATCGTCATAAGATGCCTTTATCAAGTTTTGTCTTGTTTTGTTTTGTTTTCAGCAGACTTAATGAAGCAAATCAAGATTTACCAGTCCCCTGGATACTTCTTTACCCTTTAGCAAAGGGATTTGAATGAACAGTTACTGATGAAGAATGACAGAGCATTTTGGTTAGTGCACATAAAATTGTTGTTTGTTCAGGTTATAACAAATACAGTTTAAATTTAATTTCAAGTTTCCTCTTTCATTTCTCTTTGAACTTTTGCTTTGAAATTCTTCTCACGGCCAAAATGCTTTCCCAAATTGCATAGACACGCCATTGCTTCTGAGACTGAATTAGCCTCCGAGATGGGCTCACACAGCCAGCACCACCTAGGCCTGCAGGCCAATGCTAGTTTGTAGCAGTGTCCAGGGAGATATCAGCTTCCTAACTGATCTCCCCCTCTTCCCAACCTAATTATTTGGAGACCTTCAAGCTTTCCAGAAATATCTGCAATTAGTCAGATGGTGTCTAGGGCTTTGTTTAAAATTACAATAGAAAATTTATCAAGACCATTTGGTCTAATCTCTCTCATCATCTTCCCTATAGATTTTTCCTCTTCTCTCTGGAGAGTTAGAAATGAGCTGTCATGATTATTATATAATTACAGAGAATAATAACAATAATAATGCTTGAAATTATTATTACACCATGAATAAGAATGATATGTAAAGATAACTCCTTGTCAGAATTAGAAAGATTTTCTTCCAGAAGCTCAAACAATGAACAGTTATTAGCTTTACAACCTCTTTTTGCTGATCGTGGTTGGAGCCCTGGTTTTGTAAACCAGGGGTCATGAGTTCATACTTCACTAGAATGTCAACCTACATCTAGTACCTAAACAAAATGACTTGTACAAAACAGTAGTTCAATAAATATTGTGCATGACTTAATAGATAAATTAATAATAGGGAAAATTTGGGGGTAAAGATAGATTATATTTCACTATAAGTAATGTTTTTAAATTGTTTTTGGGCAGCTTATGTGTATGTAGCAAATATCTGGTTAGGCAAAGTTTAAAAAGAGAAAACACTTAGAATGTAAAACTATACCTTGAGTTTGATTTCTAGTTCTGGTATTTTTCTGTGTCCTTGAATAAGCCACACCTCTTGGAGTTTCAGTCTTCACATTGGAGTTTACACACACACACACACACACACAGAGCATTAAAGGTTTTCTTTAATCCAACTTTAAATATAAACTTGAAAGCCTCTAGTCTCCTATCCTTAGTCTTATTTACATTCCCGTCTCCCCAGAATCAGCCACTTCATACATTTATTATGAATTCTTCCAGTCACATACAGGAATGTACACATATGTGAATGAAAAAATATAATATTTTGTGCCTACAACTTTTAAAAACTTGCACAGATGCTATCAAAGTGTATATAGTATCCTGAAACTTGCTTTCCCCCTCCTCACTATAGTTTTCAAGATCTGTTCTTTTTCTTTTTAATATTTATTTATTTATTTTTATATTTGGCTACATTGGGTCTTAGTTGTGGCATGTGGGATCTTTTTCATTGTGTTGCGGGACTTCTCACTAGTTGTGGCACACGGGCTCAGTAGCTGTGGTGTGCGGGCTTAGCTGCCCCGCAGCATGTGGGATCTTAGTTCCCTGACCAGGGATCGAACCGCGTCCTCTGCATTGGAAGGCAGATTCTTAACCACTGGACCACCGGGGAAGTCCCTTCAAGATCTGTTCTTAATAATATATACTATCTTATAGCATATATTATTTGATTCTCCAATGCATGACAAACAGCATACCTTAGTGCTTCAGAGAAAGCATAGACTCTGGAGCTACACCATCTGGGTTTGTAACCTAGCTATACCATTTATTGCTGTGGCATCTTCGGGAAGTTACGTAACCTCTCTTAACTGTCTCAGTTTTCTCATCTACAAAATAGGGATTATAATAGTACCTACATCATGGAGTTGCTATGTGAATCAAATAATTTACCAATCCTTCAGTATAGTGCCAGCACATAGGAGGATCAATATATGTGCTTTCTAAATGAAAGAAAACAACTGATGAACATTTTGTTTTCCATTTTTTACTATTACTAACAACGTTCCAAAGAATGTTTCATGTATATATTCTGGTTCTTTTGTGGGAGTGTTTCCTCAATAGTGTATTAGATATAGAATTGTTAGCTTATAGGGTTTATATGTTTCCAATCTTATTAGATTATCTTGAATTGCTCTCCATAGTGATTGTACTAATTTATGTTCCTACCACTGTTTAAGAATTTCCATTTTTTCTTTATCCTTGCCCAACTGAGTATTATCAAACCTCTCAAATTTTGCCAATCTGATTCATGTGAAATGGATTTTGTTTTTGTTATTATTTATTTCCTTGATGGTAGGTAAGGATAAACATCTTTTCAAATGTCTTTTGGACATTCTGAGTTCTTCTTTTGTGGATTGTGAATTCTGCTTTGCTTGGCATAGGAATCCAATTTTATTGTTTCCCTATAGGAAACATGCATTATTCCCAAATAACTTCTTGAATCAATCCCATTGATGCATAATGACACCTCAATTATATAACAGATTTCCATAAGTGCACCCATATTTGTTCTGGCTCACCATTCTGTTTCCTTTACTAATTCTCTCATCAATATTACCTTCAAATTACAATAGCTTGAGAAAGATCTTGATGTCTGGTGGGACATTTTGCCTCTTTCATTTTCAGATCTGCCTTAGCAATACAGTGTCTGTGACTCTTCCACGTAGATTTGAAGATCAGTTTATATAGGTCCATAGGGATACCTTGTTGGGAAGTTGTCTGAAGTCCCATTTAACACTTGATTAATTTTGGGGAAATATAAATTTTTATGATATTTGTGATTCCTTCTGAATTACTCTCCATTTATTTAGTTATTTCTTTATGTCCTCAAAGAGCATTTTGTAAGTTTCTCCTGAGGAATAAATCAGAGTGCATGTGAACACACAAAATGAAAAAAGGTATGTATATTTAAGTATTATAATTTTAAAGGAACTGTGTATAATGACAATACACAGGAAAATCCTCAATATCTGATTTTATCCAATTACATTTCCCTTTGTCTTCAATGAAACTTTTATCAACTCTTTGCCTAAATAGTAATAATATCGAATCTTATTTTTTTCCTGTTTTATTTTTCCAGCCCATATCATAATAGAAAAGTTATGAATAGTGAATTATACAGAAGTGAGCATTCAGTAAAGAAAAAAGTAGGACACGTGAAGCACCTTGAAAAATCATATCCCTCCAAACCAGGACTCAATCATAAAGTTTTTGAGAGGGATAATTTAAACAAAATGATTGAACAAATGTCCACTCTACATATTTACTTCATTTTCTCTAACTCTTATGTTTGTTGATCTTTCCTTCTCATATCTTATGGATTTTTTCATTTGTGAAGAATTATGTTTGAAATTTTGGAAGGCAGGTAAGAATTCAAAAGCACAGTCCTTGCCTAAATTGGAAGCTATCACTATTAGTTAAATGGCATAAGGACAATGAAAAAGAACATCTCTTTTAATGACTAATATTGTAGGTTTCATAAAATCTTATGGATTTTTTTTTTTCTGGTTTCACCTGTCACTTCCTATCATTGCAAGTTCTATTCCCTCCTTCAGGATTGACACTCTTTTAGGGACTGAATGCTTGTGTTCCTTCCAAGTTCATATGTTGAAGCCCTAATCATGGCTCTCCCCTGACCTGCCGCCCCCCACCCCACACACTATGTGATGGCATTAGGAAGTGCAGCCTCTGGGAGGTAATTATGTTTAGATGAAGTCATGAGGGTGGGGTCTTCATGATGGAATTAGTGCCCTTATAAGAAGAGACCAGAATTCTCCCCCACCCCTAACCTCCTCCCCCACCAAGTGAGGGCACAGCAAGAAAGCAGCCATCTGCAAGCCAGGCAGAGGACCCTCACTAGAACCTCACCATGCTGGCATCCTGACCTCGAACTTCTAAGGATCCAAAACTGTGAGAAATCAGTGTCTGCTGATTAAGCCACTCAGTCTTTGGTATTTTGTTATAGCCGCCTGAGCTAAGACATTCTCCCATCTTTTGGTATCAAGCCAACCTTCAGTGCCTAATTCAAGCATCATCTTTCTTTATGTGTATGTGTAAGTGTGTGTCTACAAATTGGGCAGACTCTATTTTTAAACACAAGTTTCACAAGAATGAATTTTCCCTGTAAAAGTTGTGAGAAATATAAAAAGTAAAATATGGCACTAACCCTTTCTGCCCTCACAGATTCCTCATACCAGGAGTAAACACTATCATTTTAACAGCATGAAGTATTAACTTTTAGTACTTTTTCTATTAAAATGCCATCTCCAGTCCTTTCTGTTATTGTTATTTTCTCCTGCTATTTGCACATAGCCCTTTGTTACATTTTGTTTAATATTCAGAAGTGGCTTTACAGTAAATTAAGGAAGCTTAATCTTCAGGAACACTTACTTGCACAGTCTCCTTCCAAAACTCTAGAAGTTTTATATGTATGTATAGTTTTATATATTTACAATTTGGGGGAGTTTTGGTTTTTTTCAGTGCTTTCTAAATTGTATAATTTTCAAGGCCCCACAAAGCCTGGATATGCCCCTGCTTATACTATACTTATTTAAGTACATGACTATCTTCCCCATTAGAATGGATAATGTTTTCTTGAATGTTCCCCCCTGCAAAAAAATGTGTAGCTCATCAACTTGCTAATAGTGGATGTGTGATAAATTTAGGATTAAATGAGCTTCAGTATGCCGAGGATTGTTTACAAGAGTCAGAGTTTTAATCAGGAGCAGAGAATGTAAGTACATCATAGCTTGGATGTTTTGTTTTCCCTGTCGTGTAATATTCATTGGTAAAT